TTTGATGAGAAAGGGAGCACCTGGAAATGTAATTGAACTAAGTCCTGTGGTTCAAGGAGACAAAGTGTTTAAAGAAAAGCCTGGTGTTAAGTGGAGTAAAGGGAGTGTTGACCTCAGGGTGATACCATACCAATGGAAGCTGACAACTGGGTGTGGAACAAGTCCAAGAGAGGGAAGTGTGATGCAGTCAGCAGGTCTGAGAGGAGTTGAACATCTGAAGAGTGCTTTGAGATCAGATATGGAGATACAGAGTGTGGAGTTTGCACAGGTAAGCTTCCAACTTGTGAAGAGGAATCAAAGGAAAGTTTAAGAAGTAAAGAAAACCATCAACAACAGAAAGCAGATACAAAGGCAACTGGCTGAGGGAGCCATGTTCTAGGACCACAAAGTATCAGAACTTGGCATCTTAAGGCACATGGTTCTGGTTTTAGAGTCAAGAATATAAGAAAGGGGGCGTGGTTAAGGAAACCCTCTGTGGTTCAGGAAAGTCACTGAGGCCAGGCATGTGTCAGGAGTGTCCCTGCATGGAAGCTCAGCTAGGCTGTAGTGTGGAGCTGTAAAGGTAAAGCCTGGGTTATGTTGGAGACCCTAAGATGTGTAGAACACCAATTGTGAGATACTATGCCAAGGAAAGCTGAAAAGACTTGAGAATCTGAAGAGTGCTCTGACATCAGACACGGAGATGCAGAGATGGAGTTTGCCCACCTGAGTTTGATTTTCAGTCAGCCTGGTATGTCCTCGCCATGTTCCCTTTTCTGCCTTTTGCAATGGTAATGCACATATTGAGTTACTGTATGTTGGAAGTAAGAGATCTGCTTTTTTTATTTTTATTTAACAAGGGGATACAGTTCAGAGATTGCCACGACTATCAGAAGAGACCTTGAACTTTGGACTTCTAAATAATTTGAGATTTGATAGACTGGGAACTTTTGAAATTGTCTAATCTTTTGGAGTTAGACTGAATTTTTTTCATTATAGGATGCCTATAGGTAAATGGGGGCCAGGGATAGAATGTGGTGGTCTCAATAAGAATATCCCCCTCAGTCAAATATATTTGAATTCTCGGTCATAGGGGATTATACTATCTGAAAAGGATTTAGGCAGCATAGCATTTGGAAGAAAGTGTGTTACTGGAGGAAGTGAATTTTGAGATTTGAAAAGCTCATGCCAAGCCCAAAGTCTATTTGCAGATCAAGATGTAGCTTTCAGCTACTGCTCCAGCAACAGCTTGCATCAACTTGCTCTCCATGCACTGCACTGCAATGATAATGTACTAAACCTCTGAAATGGTAAGCAAACCCCAGATAATGCTTTGTTTTATTTACTTATTTATTTATTTTTTTAAATATCTTGGGGTAACTCTGACCAAGGAAGTGAAAGATCTATATGACAAGAACTTTAAGTCTTTGAAGAAAGAAATTGAAGAGGACACCAGAAAATGGAAGGATCTCCCCTGCTCTTAGATTGGGAGGATCAACATAGTAAAAATGGCAATTCTACCAAAAGCAATCTATAGATTCAATGCAATCCCCATCAAAATCCCATCAAAATTCTTCACAGATCTGGAGAAGACAATAATCAACTTTATATGGAAAAACAAAAAACTCAGGATAGCCAAAACAATCTTATACAATAAAGGATCTTCTGGAGGCATTACCATCTCTGACTTCAAACTCTACTACAGAGCTACAGTATTGAAAACAGCTTGGTATTGGCATAAAAAACAGAGAAGTCGACCAATGGAATCGAATAGAAGACCCTGACATTAACCCACAAACCTATGAACACCTGATTTTCGATAAAGGAGCTAAAAGTATACAATGGAAAAAAGAGAGCATCTTCAACAAATTGTGCTGGCAAAACTGGATGTCAACCTGTAGAAGATTGAAAATGCTTTGTTTTAATAGCATTTCCATGGTCATGATGTCTCTCCACAGCAACAGAACAGTGACCAAGATACTAATCAGCCAGATCTTCACATCCTTCTTCAATGTCTGAGTCTGTTGGGAGCAGTTAACCCCCAGATCCTGAATTTCTAGTAAACAACTTGTTTTCCTCTGCTCTCAGACAGCCTGCAGCTGCTCTGAGCATGAGATCCTCAGGAATTTCTGTTGGCAGGAGAGTGATTTCTGGTGGGTTTGGCTGGGGTGTGGCTATCCCTATATAAGCTGCCCCTGAACACAATAAAGGGGGCATTCTTGTTTCAAAGATGATCCGTGTCTCTTTCTGTGAGTCTTTGTGTGTTTAAATCTCCAGGCCCTTGCCCAAGACTTGTGAATGGTCCCGTAGTGCAGGCGCCACAATACAGGAGTAGTACCTTACTGTCACGAAGTACAGGTGGGTGCTACATGAGTCTCCCTGACCTTTCTTATTTATGAACCCTCCCTAACCTGCCAGACCTAGCATTCAACCTACAAAGAGTTACCTAACCTTATCTGCCCAGCCTTGCCTGCACCAAAATCAATCTCTAAACATTTGCTACAACCCTACTTACCCACCTCAAATCACAGGATCCTCTCACACCATATGCAACCTTTCTTGGCAGCCAGATCTAATTTCACATTCAAATCTTAAACCAGGAGGTACATTCTGGACATCAGCCCAGTCCACTCTGTTCACTTTCATCACACTGAAGCCATTTATACTTTCTAGGCCCAACACATCTTCCTACCCTCCTCTCTGTTCCAGCCTTCTCTAACCATACCAGACATAGAACTAACAAGAGAAATACAAATGCCCAGATTACATTACAAAAGACCCCCAAGCAATATAAAAGAGCAAACCAATATATTCTCTCCTTCTTCAAAATATTCTTGTATAAATGTTTGTAAGTCAAAACTACTCAAAGAACCCCAGGATATTGAAATTAAAAGAAAAAGTATAAAGTTCATCTAAGAATTCAAAGAGTTTTAAAAAGGCAAAGAAGCAGCTCTCCGAAATTAAGAGAACAGTAATTAGGAAACTAAATTCAAATTCAAATATTAAACCAATGATGATGTGATGCCCAAGACATGAAAAAGACAGCCTAGTTCTTGGAAATAGAATTAAATAAGAAGATAGAAACATTGAAGAAGACTCAGGCTGAAATGAAGATGGAGCTCAAAAATCCAATGACTCTACCAGAAAACTCAAAGAAAGTCCTGACACATAGAATGAATCAAGCAAAATATAAAATATCAGGATTCACAAATGGAAAAAAGAAAGCATATTTAACAAATGGTGCTGGCATAACTGGATATCAACATGTAGAAGAATGAAAATAGATCCATATCTATCACCATACACAAAACTCAAGTACAAATGGATCAAAGACCTCATCATAAAGGCAGCCACACTGAACCTCATAGAAGAGAAAGTAGGAAGTACACTTGAATGCATTGGCACAGGAGACCACTTCCTAAATATAACCCCAGCAGCACAGACACTGAGAGAAACAATTAAATAAATAGGACCTCCTGAAACTGAAAAGCTTCTGTAAAGCAAAAGACATGGTCAACAAGACAAAACAACAGCCTATACAGAATGGGAAAAGAAGGAACTGTGGGTGAGAGTGCTTGCTGTGTAAGTATGACAGCCCGAGTTTGAATCCCTTGCACTCATGTAAAAAGATGGGCTTGCATAAATAAAGGACATTGAGCCTATAATTCGCGATCCTAGAGAAGCTAAATAAGAAGGTGAACCCAAAGAAAAACATATAGGCATCCTCCTGAATATTAACCTTCATCAGGCAATGAAAGGAGACAGAGACCCACATTGGAGCACTAGACTGAAATCTCAAGGTCCAAATCAGGAGCAGAAGGAGAGAGAGCACGAGCAAGGAATTCAGGACCGTGAGGGGTGCACCCACACACTGAGACAATGGGGATGTTCTATCGGGAACTCACCAAGGCCAGCTGGCCTGGGTCTGAAAAAGCATGGGATAAAACCGGACTCGCTGAACATAGTGGACAATGAGGACTACTGAGAACTCAAGAACAATGGCAATGGGTTTCTGATCCTACTGCACGTACTGGCTTTGTGGGAGCTTAGGCAGTTTGGATGCTCACCTTACTAGACCTGGATGGAGGTGGGTGGTCCTTGGACTTCCCACAGGTCAGGGAACCTTGCTTGTCCTTCAGGCTGATGAGGGAGGGGGACTTGATCGGGGAGGGGGAGGGAAATGGGAGGCGGTGGCGGGGAGGAGGCAGAAATCTTTAATAAATAAATAAATTAAAAAATTAAAAAAAAAGATGGGCTTGGCCGTGTGTGTGCCTGTAAGAGCAGACCCAGCTGTGATGTGGGCGGAGACAGGAGGATCTCTGGGGAATTCTCACTGCCGGTCTAGTACCAGCTTCAGTGAAAAGCCCTACCTCAGTGGACTCAAGAGAAGAGTGAGAATACCTGGTGTTCTTTTCTTGCCTCTGAATGCATATACGACACACACACTGTCAAAGTAAATGAATGTTTGAATAAGTAAAAATTAAATAAATAACAAATTCTAAGGCTCAGGGAACATTGTAGAAGAGGGTACAGGCAGAATATGAGTCAAAGAAAGTGGTAGCGTGTCATGAAAGCCTGTCTTCCATGAAAGCCTGTCTTCCAGATATGCCACGGGTGTCTCAGTCTTGAACTCACAGCAGGTAGGTGTACATTAGCTACATAACAGATATAACACATAGAAAAGAAACTCACACAGTCACTAATGGTTGGGAGGAATGCAGGATGAGGAACTGTTGCTTAGTGGGTACAGTTTGGGGTGATTAAAATTGTTTGGAGAGTTGTAGATATGGCTTAGTGGCACAGCACTTGCAACATATATGGGGTCCTGGATTCAACCTCAACAAAGCCAGCAGTGAAGAATAATCAAAATACTGGCTGGAAAATAAAAGTGATGGTTGCATAACACTGTACATTCAGCAATACTGAATTGTATACCTAAAACACACAAAGAGGAAATATTTACATTATATACATATGTGTTATATGTTATAGATTACTACAATAATAAAGCTTATTCTTACTTGGTCTTGAAGTCACATTCTCAGAGAACCATGTGGACATTCCAGATGTGCTCGTTCCGTGTTGTGCAGTTGTGGTCTTTTTCCCAATGGGTCTTGAACTTGTGGTAGCTAAATGAGATGTCTCACTTGTAGTTTCCAGGTCAGTGACTGGACTTGTTGAGGACTCTGATGGTATCGAGGTAATTACGGGGCTTGTGACATCAGTGACAAGATCGGAAAGTCTAACTGTAGTGACAGACGCTGAAGTTTCTATGCTCTCTAAAGTTGCACTGCTAGATTTACTAGTTGTAGGAGCACCGGGAAACCCAGAGACACTAGGGGACATAGTCAGAGTGGATTCTGCAAAAGTGGTGGAAGCCCATAAACCCGTGGTTCCTGTTAAAATAGGGAAAGGAGTTACACTTAGAATGGTTGTGCTGGTCTCAGTCTCAGAGTGGATGGGGAGAGAGGCTGTTTCTTCAGAAGCACCAGATGAAAACATTGTACCCAGGTCACTTTTGCTCTCCTCAGTCACAGATGAGTTCAAGAGAAAATTTGTCATCTCTGGTACACCAGGGGACACAGTCTGAGTAAAGAGAGTTGTACTAACATCTACCCCAGATGTAATGGGCACTGAGGCTGTGGTCTCCAATGAAGGAAGAAAACCAGTTGAAACAGGAAATGTTGTGTTAGTCTCTGTACTGAGGAAGGTGGGTAATGAGACTGTGCTTTTTGTTTCACTAGGAGACAGAACTGTATTTGGAAATGTACTGGTTGATGGACTAGAACTAGAGAACTGTGAGATCTCAACACCTGGAACCCCAGGATAGAGAGTCATTGTTGGCACAGATGAACTGGTTTCGGTTCCAGGATGATTGATTATTGAGGGTGTAACATCTAAACCACTATCAGAAGAACTGGAAGTTTTTTGGGTTAAGGCAGAATGAGAGACCAGGGAGACTGCTGATGTTGGCTCATGCATCAATGTACTCGGTGTAAGAAAAATCTTACTATTGTCTGTTGTAGAACCAGCGGTTAGTGGAGTGGTCATATATGGTACACCAGATGAAAGAGTTGTTGGAATGGCTGAAGTGGTCTCTGCCCCAGAAGCTGAGGGTATGATGTCTGATTCACTAGAAGAAAATTTGAGAGTTGCTGTGGAAAGTGGAGTGCTAGGCTTGGCGGAAAGAATGAGCCATGTTTCAGTTCTTTTTGGCTCACCAGGTAAAGTAGACAGAGGAGAAATTGTTGAACTTGCTTCTTTCCCAGGAAGCATGACCGAGGAGGCTGTGTTCTCTGTTTGACTTGAGGAAATAGTCAAAACTGGAGTAGCTGTATATATCTTTGTCTCAGAAGTAGTGACCCGTGATGTCATCATTTCTGTAACATCTGAAATAGTGTTATGTGGTTCAGAAGGAATAAGAGCTGTTGGGGTAATCATTTCTGGAGGGACAGATCTTGTAGGCATGGCTGAACTGGGCTGTCCCCCAACATGAGAGATCAAGGACATTGTGGTATGTGGTTCAGAAGGAATAAGAGTTGACGAGGACAACATTTCTGGAATGCTTGGAGACATGGATGTCCTTAGAATACTCAAAGGGGCTTCTGTTATAGGAGTGGTGAGTAATGAGGTTGGGTTTTCTGGTTGATCTGGAGAAGCAGCCAGAGTGGAAGATACTGAATCGATTTCTGTGTGAGAACTAGTGATGAGTGGTGATATTGTTTCTGTTACATGGGGAGAGATAGGCTTTGTAGACATGGTTGAACTGGGCTGTTCCCCAGCATCAGTGACCAAAGAAATTGTGGTATGTGCTTCAGAAGAAATAAGGTTTGGTGAGGTCATCATTTCTGGCACACCAGAGCTAGTGCCCAGTGATGGTATCATTTCTGTTACATGGGGAGAGACAGCCAGAGTAGACATGGATAAACTGGGCTGATCCCCAGCATGGGTGACCAATGTTCCAGTCTGTGCTTCAGAAGTAATGTGGTTCACAGCTGTTAAGGTCAGCATACCAGGAACATGAGGTGAGATGGTTGAAGTTAAAACTCCTGAAGTGTCTTCATTCCCAGGATGGGTGACCCATGGAACTGTGGACTCTGTTTGAACTGAGGAAACAGACAGACTTAAAGTGATTGGATGGTTTTCGGTTCCATTACTAGTGACTTGTGATGGTATCATTTCAGTTGTACTTGGAGATACAGATTTTGTAGACATGGCTGAACTGGACTGTTCTCCAAAGTGGGTGACAAGTGAAACTGTGGTATGTGATTCAGAAGGAATAAGAGTTGCTGATGTCATCATTTCTGGTACATTAGGGGAGATGGTCATAGAGAGAACCCTTGAAGTATCTTCTATTCCAGGATGGGTGACCCATGGGACTACAGTCTCAGGTTGACCTGGGGAAACAGTCACTGTTGTAGTCATTGCAGAGCTTTCTGTGCCCAGGTTAGTAAATAGTGATGGTGTCACTTCTGTTATACCCGGAGAGACACTCTGAGTAGACATGGATAAACTGGGCTGTCCTCCAGCATGGGGAACCAATGATGTTATGCTCTGTGTTTTAGGAGTGTGGTTCAGAATTGTTGAGGTCATCGTGTCTGGACCACTAAGTGAGATGGCTGTAGTCAGAACCACTGAAGTGTCTTCATTTCCAGGATGAGTTGTGGTTTCTGCTTCACCTACAGAATCTGCCAGAGTTGAAGAAGCTGAATGGTTATTTTTGCCTGAGAGAGTGATCATTGATGGTATCATTTCTGTTATACCTGGAGAGACAGTCTGAGTTGTCTGTTGTTCCTCAGCGAGGGTAATGAATGAAACTGTAGTATGTGGTTCAGAAGAAAGAAGAGGTGGTGAGGTAACCAAATCTGTGAAAATAGTTGAAATAGTGGAGGTTGGAGAACCTGAAGTGAGTACTCTTTCAATATGAGTCACCCATGAGGCTGTGGTCTCTCTTTCACCTGGGGAAACAAATAGAACTGGAGGGGTCTCTTCTGTCTCTGTCCCCAAAGTATTGGCTTGTGATGTCATTTCTGTTATACTGCTGGTCTGATCCTCAGCAGTGGTAACAAATGAAATTCCAGTTAGTGATTCAGAAGGAAAAAGAGTTGTTGTGGAAATCATTTCTGGGACACTGGCTGAAACGGTAGTACTTGGAACTCCTGATGTGCTTTCTCTTTCAGTGTGGGTGACCATTGTATAACTTCCTGTGCCCACGCTGGTGACTAGTGACTGTGTCATTTCTGTTGCATCATAAGATACAGTCTGAATAGACAAGGATGAACTGGGATGTCCACCAGGATGGCTGACCAGTGATTTTATGGTCACTGGTTCAGAAGGAGTGTGGACCAGAGGTGCTGAGGTCATCATGTCTGGAACAGCAGGTGAGATGGTTGTAGACAGATCCTCTGAAGAGACTTCTGTTCCAGGATGGGTGATCCATAGAGTTATGGTCTCTGGTTTATCTGTGGAAACTTCCAGAGTTGTGGGTGGTACAGAGCTAGAGCTAGTGACCAGTGATGGAATCAATTTTGCATTACCTGGAGAGCCAGCCAGAGTAGACATAGCTGAACTAGGCTGTTCCCCTTTTTGGGTGACAGAGGAGACTGTGGAATGTGATTCAGAAGGAATAAGAGTTGGGGAAGTAACAAGGTCTGGAACACTAGCTGAAATAGTGGTGGTTAGAACACCTGAAGTGTCTTCTCTTTCAGCATGAGTTACCCATGAGGCTGTGGTATTTGTTTGACCTGAGAAAACAAGTAGAGCTGAACTGGTTTCATGTGCCTCTGTCCCAGAAGTAGTGACCATAGATGTCATCAATTCTGTTACACCTGAAAAGATAGTCTGAGCAGACATGGATAAATTCGGATGTCCACCAGCATGTGTGACCAATGATGATGTGGTCTGTGGTTCAAGAGGAGTGTGGATCAGAGTTCTTGAGGTCATCATGTCTGGAACACCAGGTAAGATGGTTGTAGGTAGATCTTCTGAGGTGCCTTCTTTTCCAGGATGGGTAACCAATGGGGCTGTGGTCCCTGGCTGATCAAGTGAAAGAGCCATAGTTGAAGTCTTGGAATTGTTCTCTGTGCTTGAGTTAGTGACCAGTGAGGGTATCATTTCTGTAATACCTGAAGAGACAGGACGTGTAGACAAAGTTGCACGGGGCTGTTGTTCTATAGGAGTGACCAATGAAACTGTAGCATGTGATTCAGAAGGAATGAGAGTACTTGAGGTCAACATTCCTGGGATACCAGTTGACATGGTAGTAGTAGGAACCCCTGATATGGCTTCTCTTTCAGGATGGGTGGTCAATGGGGCTGTGATCTCAGGCAGGCCTGTAGAATCATTCAGAATTGAAGTCATTGCATGGCTTTCTATGCTTGAGCCAGTGACAAATGATGGCATCATTTCTGTTTCTATTACACCTGAAGAGACAGCCTGATCAGACAAGGATGGACTGGGATGTCTACCAGGATGTGTGACCAATGATGCCATGGTCTGTGGTTCAGGAGAAATATGGATCAGAATTGTTGAGGTCATCATGTTTGGAACATCAGGTGAGATGGCTGTAGAGAGAACTCCTGATGAGTCCTCTTTTCCAGGCGGTGTGACCCATGGGCCTGCATTCCCTGGTTTATCTGTGGAAACTGCCAGATTTGTAGCTAGTGCAGAGTTAGTGCTGAAGCTAGTGCCCAGTGATGATAGAGTTTCTGTTACACTTGGAGAGACATCCAGGGGAGGAATGGCTGAACTGGGCTGTTCACCAAAGTAGGTGGCAAAAGAAACTGTTGAATGTTGTTCAGAAGGAATAGGAGATGCTGAAGTAACAAGGTCTGGACCAGTAGTTGAAACAGTGGTAGTTTGAACATCTGAAGTGTCTTCTCTTTCAGCATGAGTCACCCATGTGTTTGTGGTCTCCCTTTGACCTGGAGAAACAAGTAGAGCTGGACTGGTTTTATGTGTTTTTGAGCCAGTAGTAGTGGTCTGTGATGTCATCATTTCTGTTGCTTCTGGAGAGACAGTCTGAGTGGACATGGATAAACTTGGTTGTGCGTCAGCATGAGTAACCAGTGATACTGTGGTCTGTGTTTCAGAAGGAATGTAGGTTGCACTTATTGAGCTTACATTCTCTGAAGCAGTAGCTGACATATTTGTAGTTAGAACATCTGAACTAACTGCCTTTATAGAATGGGAGGAGGCCCATGAATCTGTGCTCTCTGTTTGATCTGTGGATAATGTCAGCATTGAAGTTGTTGGACTTTTTGTTGTGATAGAGCTAGTGACCAGTGATGGTTCCATTTCTGTTACACCTGGAGAGCCAGCCAGAGTAGGGATGGCTGAACTGGGCTGTTCACCAATATGGGTGACAATAGAAACTGTTGAAGGTTGTTCAGAAGGAATAGGAGATGTTGAAGTAACAAGGTCTGGACCAGTAGTTAAAACAATGGTAGTTTGAATACCGGAAGTGTCTTCTCTTTCATCATGAGTTGCCCAAGAGTCTGTGGTCTCTCTTTGACCTGGAGAAACAAGTAGAGATGGACTGGTTTCATGTACCTCTGTCCTGGCATGTGACATCATCATATCCATTCCACCCTGAGAGACAACATCAGTGGACATGGATGGACTGAGATGTTCACCAGTATGAGTGACCAATGATGTTATGGTCTGTGGTTCAGGAGGAGTGTGGATCAGAGTCGTTATGGTCATCATGTCTGGAACAGTAGGTGAGGCCATTGTTCTTAGAACCCCTGAAGTATATTCTTTTCCAGGATAGGTGACCCATGTAGATGTGGTTCCTGGTTGGTCTGGGGAAATGGCAAGAATTGAAGTGACAGAATGGCTTTCTGTACTTGAGCTAGTGGCAAATGATGGTATCGTTTCTGTTATATTTGGAGAGATAGGCAGTGTAGCTATGTCTGAGCTATGCTGTTCCCCAATATGTGTGACAAATGACACTGTGGTGTTTTGCTCAGCAGAAATAAGATTTGGTGATGTCATCATTTCTGGTATGCTATGTGAGATGTTCAAAGATAGAACCCCTGAAGTACCTTCTTTTCCAGGATGGGTAACCCATGTGGCTGTGGTCCATGGTTGATCTGGTGAAACAGCCATAGTTGAAGTCATGGAATTGTTCTCTGTGCTTGAGTTAGTGACCAGTGAGGGTATCATTTCTGTAATACCTGTAGAGACAGGACTTGTAGACAAAATTGCACTGGGCTGTTGTTCTATAGGAGTGACCAATGAAACTGTAGCATGTGATTCAGAAGGAATGAGAGTACTTGAGGTCAACATTCCTGGGATACCAGTTGACATGGTAGTAGTAGGAACCCCTGATATGGCTTCTCTTTCAGGATGGGTGGTCAGTGGGGCTGTGTTCTCAGGCAGGCCTGTAGAATCATCCAGAGTTGAAGTCATTGCATGGCTTCCTATGCTTGAGCCAGTGACAAATGATGGCATTTCTGTTTCTGTTACACCTGAAGAGACAGCCTGATTAGACAAGGATGGACTGTGATGTCTTTCAGGATGCGTGACCAATGATGCAATGGTCTGTGGTTCAGGAGAAGTATGGATCAGAATTGTTGAGGTCATCATTTTTGGAATGTCAGGTGAGATGGCTGTAGAGAGATCCCCTGAAGAGATTTCTGTTTCAGGATGGGTGACCCATGGGCCTGTATTCCCTGGTTTATCTGTGGAAACTGCCAGAGTTGTAGCTAGTGCAGAGTTAGTGCTGAAGCTAGTGCCCAGTGATGATAGAGTTTCTCTTACAGTTGGAGAGACATCCAGGGGAGGAAGAGCTGAACTGGGCTGTTCACCAAAGTAGGTGGCAAAAGAAACTGTTGAATGTTGTTCAGAAGGAATAGGAGATGCTGAAGTAACAAGGTCTGGACCAGTAGTTGAAACAGTGGTAGTTTGAACATCTGAAGTGTCTTCTCTTTCAGCATGAGTCACCCATGTGTTTGTGGTCTCCCTTTGACCTGGAGAAACAAGTAGAGCTGAACTGGTTTCATGTGTTTTTGAGCTAGTAGTAGTGGTCTGTGATGTCATCACTTCTGTTGCTTCTGGAGAGACAGTCTGAGTGGACATGGATAAACTTGGTTGTGCGTCAGCATGAGTAACCATTGATACTGTGGTCTGTGTTTCAGAAGAAATATGGGTTGCACTTATTGAGCCTACATTCTCTGAAGCAGTAGCTGACATATTTGTAGTTAGAACATCTGAACTAACTGCCTTTACAAAATGGGAGGAGGCCCATGTACCTTTGGTCTCTGTTTGATCTGTGGATACTGTCAGCATTGTAGTTGTTGGACTGTGTGTTGTGATAAGGCTAGTGACCAGTGATGGCATCGTTTCTGTTACACCTGGAGAGCCAGCCAGAGTAGGGAAGGTTGAACTGGGCTGTTCACCAATGTGGGTGACAATAGAAACTGTTGAATGTTGTTCAGAAGGAATAGGAGATGTTGAAGTAACAAGGTCTGGACCAGTAGTTGAAACGGTGGTAGTTTGAATACCTGAAGTGTCTTCTCTTTCATCATGAGTCCCCCATGAGTCTGTGGTCTCTCTTTGACCTGGAGAAACAAGTAGAGTTGGACTGGTTTCATGTACCTCTGTCCTGGCATGTGACATCATCATATCCATTCCACCCTGAGAGACAACATCAGTGGACATGGATGGACTGAGATGTTCACCAGTATGAGTGACCAATGATGTTATGGTCTGTGGTTCAGGAGGAGTGTGGATCAGAGTCGTTATGGTCATCATGCTTGGAACAGTAGGTGAGGCTATTGTTCTTATAACCCCTGAAGTATCTTCTTTCCCAGGGTAGGTGACCCATGGGGATGTGGTCCCTGGTTGGTCTGGGGAAATAGCAAGAGTTGAAGTGACAGAATGGCTTTCTGTACTTGAGCTAGTGGCAAATGATGGTATCGTTTCTGTTATATTTGGAGAGATAGGCAGTGTAGCTATGTCTGAGCTATGCTGTTCCCCAATATGTGTGACCAATGACACTGTGGTGTTTAGTTCATCAGAAATAAGATTTGGTGGTGTCATCATTTCTGGTATGCTATGTGAGATGTTCAAAGATAGAACCCCTGAAGTACCTTCTTTTCCAGGATGGGTAACCCATGTGGCTGTGGTCCATGGTTGATCTGGTGAAACAGCCATAGTTGAAGTCATGGAATTGTTCTCTGTGCTTGAGTTAGTGACCAGTGAGGGTATCATTTCTGTAATACCTGTAGAGACAGGACGTGTAGACAAAATTGCACTGGGCTTTTGTTCTATAGGAGTGACCAATGAAACTGTAGCATGTGATTCAGAAGGAATGAGAGTACTTGAGGTCAACATTCCTGGGATACCAGTTGACATGGTAGTAGTAGGAACCCCTGATATGGCTTCTCTTTCAGGATGGGTGGTCAGTGGGGCTGTGATCTCAGGCAGGCCTGTAGAATCATCCAGAGTTGAAGTCATTGCATGGCTTCCTATGCTTGAGCCAGTGACAAATGATGGCATTTTTGTTTCTGTTACACCTGAAGAGACAGCCTGATTAGACAAGGATGGACTGTGATGTCTTTCAGGATGCGTGACCAATGATGCAATGGTCTGTGGTTCAGGAGAAGTATGGATCAGAATTGTTGAGGTCATCATTTTTGCAATGTCAGGAGAGATGGCTGTAGAGAGAACTCCTGACGTGTTCTCTTTTCCAGGCAGTGTGACCCATGGGCCTGCATTCCCTGGTTTATCTGTGGAAACTGCCAGAGTTGTAGCTAGTGCAGAGTTAGTGCTGAAGCTAGTGCCCAGTGATGATAGAGTTTCTGTTCCAGTTGTAGAGACATCCAGGGGAGAAATGGCTGAACTGGGCTGTTCACCAAAGTAGGTGGCAAAAGAAACTGTTGAATGTTGTTCAGAAGGAATAGGAGATGTTGAAGTAACAAGGTCTGGACCAGTAGTTGAAAAAGTTGTGTCTTCTCTTTCAGCATGAGTCACCCATGTGGTTGTGGTCTCTCTTTGACCTGGAGAAACAAGTAGAGCTGAACTGGTTTCATGTGTTTTTGAGCTAGTAGTAGTGGTCTGTGATGTCATCATTTCTGTTGCTTCTGGAGAGACAGTCTGAGTGGACATGGATAAACTTGGTTGTGCGTCAGCATGAGTAACCATTGATACTGTGGTCTGTGTTTCAGAAGAAATATGGGTTGCACTTATTGAGCCTACATTCTCTGAAGCAGTAGCTGACATATTTGTAGTTAGAACATCTGAACTAACTGCCTTTACAGAATGGGAGGAGGCCCATGTACCTTTGGTCTCTGTTTGATCTGTGGATACTGTCAGCATTGTAGTTGTTGGACTGTGTGTTGTGATAGGGCTAGTGACCAGTGATGGCATCGTTTCTGTTACACCTGGAGAGCCAGCCAGAGTTGGGAAGGCTGAACTGGGCTGTTCACCAATGTTGGTGATGAGTGAAAAGGTTGAATGTTGTTCAGAAGGAATAGGAGATGTTGAAGTAACAAGGTCTGGACCAGTAGTTGAAACGGTGGTAGTTAGAACACCTGAAGTGTCTTCTCTTTCATCATGAGTCCCCCATGAGTCTGTGGTCTCTCTTTGACCTGGAGAAACAAGTAGAGCTAGACTGGTTTCATATACCTCTGTCCTGGCATGTGACATCATCATGTCCATTCCAACCTGAGAGACAACATCAGTGGACATGGATGGACTGAGATGTTCACCAGTATGAGTGACCAATGATGTTATGGTTTGTGGTTCAGGTGGAGTGTGGATCAGAGTTGTTGTGGTCATCATGTCTGGAACAGTAGGTGAGGCCATTGTTCTTATAACCCCTGAAGTATCTTCTTTTCCAGGGTGGGTGACCCATGTAGATGTGGTCCCTGGTTGGTCTGGGGAAATAGCAAGAGTTGAAGTGATGGAATGATTTTCTGTGCTTGAGCTAGTGGCAAATGTTGGTATCGTTTCTGTTATATGTGGAGGAACAGGCCTTACAGACATGGTTGAACTAGGCTGTTCCCCAATGTGGGTATCCAATGAAGCTGTGCTATATGGTTTAGAAGGAGTACGAGTTGGTGAGGTGATCATTTTTGTTACACTATGTGAGATGGTTCTAGATAGAACTCTAGAAGTAACAAGTTCTTTTCCAGGAAGGACAAGCCTTGGGACTGTGGTCTCTGGTTCACTTGAAGAAACATATAGAGTTGAATCCAATAAAGAGTTTTTTGTGCTAGAGGTAGTGATGAGTGATGGCATCATTTCAGTTATGCCTGAAGACACAGGCCTTGTAGACATGGCTGAACTTGGCTGTTCCCCAATGTTGGTAACCAATGAAATTGTAGTATATGTTTCAGAAGGAATAAGAGTTGATGAGGTCATTGTTTCTGGCATGCTATGTGAGATGGTCTTAAATAGAACCCCTGAAGTGCCCTGCATTCCATGATCTGTTATCCCTGCTTTTGTAACCTCTGGTTGTATTAGGGATAAGTTTGTATTTGAAGTCACTGCATGGCTTTCTGTGCCTGAGCTATCAACCCGGGATGTCACTTCTGTTATACCCTGAGAGATTGCCATACTATTTATGGCCAAACTTTGTTGTTGCCCAGCAGGAGTTGCCAATGGTGTTATCTTCTGTGCTTCAGAAGGAATGTGGCTCAGGATTGTTGAGGTCATCATGTCTGTAACACTAGATGTTAAGTTTGTATTTCGAGCACCTGAACTGTCTTCTTTTTCAGTGCTGTTAATCCAAGATGTTGTTGTATTTGGTAGTCTTGTGGAAAAAGTGAAAGTTGGAGTTGTTGCATGACTTTCTGTACCTTCAGTAGTGACCAGTGATGTAGCCATTTCTGTTGTATCTGGAGAGACAGCCAGAGTAGATATGGTTGAATTGGGCTCTTTTCCAGCATCAGTTACCAATGAAACTGTAGTCTGTTTTTTTGGAATTTGTTTCACAGATTCTGAGGTCAGTTTTTCTAGAACATTGGGTGAAATGGTTGTAGTTAGCACCCTTGCACTGACTTCTGTTTCAGGATTCATGATCCATGATGTGGTGGTCTCTGTTTGACCTGAAGAAATAGTCTGATTTCTTTTACGGCTGCCTGTCTCAGAGCTAGTAAATAATTGTCTTATCATTTCTGTTACATCTGTAGAGACAGCCATAGTAGACATGGGTGAACTAATCTTTTCCTCAGAGTGAGAAATAAGAGACATCTTGGTATGTGTTTCAGAAGGTTGAAGAATAAGAATTGATTTGGATGTCTCTGCATCTTCCTCAGACCTGCGGCCTTCTAAGGTTACCATATCTGGAATACTAGATGAGAGAGCTATAGTTGGAGTACTTGGAGCAGATGATCCGGCTTCCTGTTCAACTGTGGTGGCTGTTGAGGGTGTGGTATAAGATTCAATATGGGAAAAACTTGGGCTTGTCCTGGGAACCTTTGTGTTCATTTCTTCAGGACTGATAACAAATGGGGCTGATGTGCCTGCTTCATCTGGTGAAGCAGTAAGAGTTGCAACAGAAGAACTTCCTTCTGAAATTTTAGAAGGTGTTACTTGTGATGCTGTTTTCTCCAGTATTTGTGAATAACTTGTTATTTCTGGGGAAATTGTACTGGTGTAAATCTCAGAACTAGGGCCTAGTGAAGTCACTATCCCAAGTACACCAGAGGAAGCTGTCATAGTTGGAATGGATGAAGGTTTTTGTACCACAGTATGAGTGGACATTGAGACTCCTATCTCTGGTTTATCAGAAGAACGAGTCAAAGCTGGAATATTGGTGCTGGTGACTATCCTAAAAGTAGGGACAGGTGAACTCAGTACTTCTGACACATTAGGTGAAAAAGCAGAAGTTGAAGAATCTGATCTGGCTTCTGTCTCAGAACTGGTGGATATTGAGGGTAAACTATCTGATGCAGTGTGGGAAACATCTGGAGTTGTCATGAGGACTGTCAGGTTAGTCTCCGAAAAATGAGTATCCCATGATTTTGTTTCACCTGTCCCGCCAGGTAAAGTAGATAGAGTCAAAACATCTGAAGTACCTTCTCTGCCAGAGTGGGTGACCCATGAGGTTATAGTGTCTGGATCATCTGGGGAAGCAGTTTGGATTGCATGTGTCTCTGCCCCAGAACTAGACACCAGTGATGTTATCACTTCTGTTACACCTAGAGAGACAGCTCCAGTAGAAGTGGCTAAACTGGACTCTTCCCCTGCATTGGTTGCAAGGGAAACTATAGTCTGTGGCTCAGAAGAATGGAGCATCAGAGTTGATGTAGTTGTTTTTGAATCTGTACCAAAACTAGGGACCTGCGAAGTCACCATATCTTGGACAACAGGTAAGACAGTTGTGGTTAGAACAGATGAACTTGTTTCTGGACCAATAATTGTGGATGCTGCGGGAGGTGTAGTGTCTAAATCCATATGGGAAAAACTTGGCCTTGTTGCTTCATCTGGCTCAGTAGGAGTCCTAGTCCCAGATGGAATCTTAGAACTAGCTTTATCTCCAAGATGGCTGACTTCTGAGGCAGTGATCTCTGGCTGACTTGAGAAAGCAACCTGAGTTGGAAATAGACTTGTTTCTAATTTACTGCTTGTGGTGAGTGACATCATCTCTGGAACATCAGGGGAGACAGTCAGAGTTGCAATGGTTGAACTCACCTGTGGCCTATGGTGGCTGACCAATGGTACTGTGGTGTCTGACTCATCAGCAGAAACAGACTGAGCTGGAGTACTTTCAGTAGTTACTGTTGAAAAACTAGGAGCCAGTGAGGTCAGAACCCCTTTCTCCTCAGGTGAAAAAATAGAAGACGAGCCAGCTAAATTTGTTTCTGTTCCAAGACTGGAAGCCACTGAGGGTGTAACATCTAACCCATGCTGAGAAAAATTTGGGACTGTTTTGAGAACTGTAGGACTGATTGCTGCATGAGGAGTGAATAAGGAAATGGTTGTATCTGGCTCACCAGGAAAAACAGCCAAAGTTGGAACAGCCGAACTGGACTTGGCCTCAAGATGAATGGCCCCTGGAATGGTGGTTTCTGGTTGACCTGGGGAAACAGTTGAAGTTGGAGATGGATGGCTTTTTGTTCCAGAACTGGTTATTAGTGAGGCCAACATTCCTGGTACAGTAGGGGAGTCAGATGGAACTGTAATACCTAAACTTGTCTGGGCTCCAGCATCGGTAGTAAATGAGTTCATTGTCTCTGGCTTAGAAAAAGAAACAGACAAAGATGGAATACTTGTACTGGTCACTGCTCTAGAACTAGTGGCCAGTGAGGTCATTGTATGTGGTACACCAGGTGAAACCACTGTATTGGGAAGAGCAGAGCTGACTTCTTTCCCAGTACTTGTGGTGGTTGACAGTGTCAAATCTGATCCACCATGAGAAAATGTTAGGGCTGTCTTAGGAAGAGTAACGTTTGTCTCCGTAAGATGGTTGATTCCTGATGTTGTTGTATTTTGCTCACTAGAGGATGTACTCTTCACAGTGGAAAAACTTGAGGTGTCTTCTGTCCCAGTCTGGGTGAGCCAAGATGTTGTATTAAACAGTTGATCTGGAAAAGCAGTCAGGGTTGAAGTAGTTGGCTCTATTATCTTTCCTGATACAGCAGCTGAATTACTTGTATTTAGAATAGCTGTAGTTCCCCATGCTTTGGAATCAGTGACAAGTGTGCCAGGGGACTCTGGTTCCTCAGCAGGAGTCATAGTGGATGTACTATTTTTTTCCTGTGTCTGAGAACTAATGACCAGTGAGGTTTCCAATCCTGCTATAACACGTGATGTAGTAGTGTTTGGAAAGGCTAGCATGACTTCTGTCCCACGGGTGGTATCCACTGAGAGCGTGGTAGTATCAGATTCAATATTTCCAGAAACAAGGATTCTGCTCTGTGTAAGATGTGTGTCCCTTGGGAATATTGTATGTGACTCACTAGGTGCGACTGTGAGATTTTGGAGAGCTGGCTTGGTCTTTGCTCCAATACTAATATCCAATGAGGTTTCCATTCCTGATGTGTCAGTAGGAAAAGTGCTGGCAACAGAATAACTCACCTCTGTTCCAGGATGGGTAACCCCAGAAACTATTGTCTTTGGTTTACTCGGGGAATCAGTAAGAGTTGGAATAAACATACCAGTGCTTTCTTCAGGCCCGCTAATCAGTGAGGTTGGCAAATCTGGTATTATAGAGAAAACAGTTAACTGTGGAAAAGCTGAACTCACTTCTTCTCTGGGAATGGTGGCTGTGGACACCTTGGAATCTGATTCTCCTTGAGAAGCACTCAGCGTCATCTTGGCAGCAGCTGAAGTCATCTCCAAAGGATAGGTGACCCATGAGACTGTGCCAGAGTCACCAGAAGAGTCAGTTAAGGTACGACTAGCTTGGCTGGTCTCTGTCCTAAGACTGGGGCTCCTCGAGACTGTGCTCTCTGGTTCTCTACTGTACAAAGATAGTCTTGTTCTGAGGACCATGCTGGTCTTTTCCCTAGAGCCTGTAGAAGGTGATGCTGTTATCCCTAGGACATTGTGGGAGGCATCTGAGGCTGTGATAATCATCTCTGTTGTGTTTATGTTGCCCGTTGTCTCTGGTGTCGTGAGGTGATCCAGGGGTCTTGAAGTTGTAGAGATTTTGGTGGTTGAAGTGGCAATGGGTGTAGCTTTCAGAGCTGTATCAGTGGTCTCCGCTTTTACTCGCCCTTCTGTGGATAGCTCTGTAAGTAGAAACGTGCAACACAAATTGTAAAGATGTTTGCACTTTCTCAATAGGCAATTCATACTTTTTTTACTGTATATGATAAAGGGAGAGAAGTATTTATGATAGTACTGCTTTCTTGAGATGTGAGTGGCATGATCTGGGAAGGGAAAAGGTACTGTGAATTTTGCTATATTGCTCATCCATTTCCCTGACTCCTTTTTTATTTTCTGGTGTATGTGTGTGTCTGTATCTGTGTGTGTCTCTCTGTGTGTGTGTGTGTCTGTGTGTGTGATACAGAAACAGAGAGACAGGATTTTCTGTTTCCTGGCCAGCCTTAAACTCAGTACATAGCTGACGGTATTTTGAGATTATAGATATGCATTACCACATTTAGTTTATATGGTGCCAACGACAGAAACTAGGGGCCTTGTGAATTCTAGGCAAGCACTCTACCAACAGAACTCCAACTTTAGTCTTCCTGGATTTTTTTGAGCTGTAACTCTTTCATAAATTTGTGACCACACATCCAATCCTTGTTCCTCTCTATTTTCCATACTACTCAAGGTTAGCTTTCTGTCCTCCTGACCTACCTATCTCCCATCAGGTCCCACCAATTCTGATCATTTTCATGGGCAAGTTTAAATCAAACTTACTGAGGATTCATTATATTTAATTTTTTCCGTTTCTTACCACAATGTCTGAACTGCAGTTATCATCTTCAGATTTGCTGGCTGTTGATAACTATTAATATTTCACTGCTTGACACATGATAGGTATTCAACTTAAAGAATTGAGTGAATGAATGAATAAATGAGGTCCTGAAAGAATGGTGCATAAGAATGCACCTCCTTTGTTTTGAGAGAGGTGATATGTGTCATTAGTTTGAATGTCTGGGCTTCATAATGTGATATCCCTGTGCTGATTTTGTCATTTTTACTAGAGATGTGGCTGTAAAGTAGCATTTTTGACTTTCTGCAAACCAAGGTTTGCTAGCACTCTGTGATTATAAAATATTTTTTTCTGGAAGTCATTTAACATTTCATGATATTGTTTTATGAATACATTTAAGAGTGTACATGGGTTGGGCATGGAGTTCATTGAATAGAACATTTACCTAGCATTCGTGGAGTAAGCCCCTGGAACTTCACTGTCTGAGTATGGTGGTGCATTCCTGTAAATACTGTGACCAAAACTGGAATCTGCACACTAAGGTACCTTGAACTGACTTCTTTTCCTTCTGTTCTTTGTCTTCTCTGTCATGCTGGGACCGCTCTCAACTTAGGCTAGACTACATGACTCTCTGTCTTAGATTTAACAACTGCTTTTCAGGAAACCCACCTATAAATCAATAGCTCTGATTTGGTGGTGACTTTGTCCAAAGCCTAGATCGTCAAAGTAGCTTATTAAAATCAAGGTTCTCACTATGACTATGGAAAAAATGCCCAACATTGTTAGCCACTTTACATAGATGCAAAACTACACCAAGATTCACTTTCATCTTAGTCAAAATGACATTTATGTACAAATTAGAAAATGAGTGCTTAAAAATATTGGAAAAGAATCAACATTATAGACTCTTGGTGGGAATATAAGTCTATCTACTTCAGAAAAAAAATTATAGAGATTGCTTAAGAAACTAAAAACAGGAAACAGGAAAGATGGTTCCATGACTAGGAGTACTTTCTGCTTATGCAGAAGACCTGCTTTCCTTCAAAGTATCTACTTAGTGACTTATAACCACCCATGACTCCAGTTCCAGGGATCTGATGCCTCTTTATACTTTCACAGGCACCAGACATGCCTACAATCCCTCAGTGAGGAGCTGGAGCATGGTTCTGTGGTAGAGCCTCTGCCTAGAACCTTCCCGTGAGAAACCTGGAAATGTGGCTCAGAAGTGCCGGTCTTGGCTTAAAATCTAGTGAGGAGCCAAAGGCATCAAGAGCGTGCTGGAGTAGCATGTACAAGCTGCTGTGACTTACCGCAAGCATTCTCTACACACAAAGTTGCATTATAATTATTGTGTTCCTTTGATGTCTTTCTATGCATTCTCAGTTTATATCAATGTCTCCAACATATATATTTTATTTCATTAGCAAATAAGAGTGGGCATGGGGAAACTTATCTGAAATCTTAGTGTTTAGGAGACTATGATAATAAAATTGTAAGTCTGAGGCCAGCTTAGGTTACAAAGAAAGGTTTTTGAGAGAGAATAGAGGAGAGAGAGATTAATGTTTGGGATCTGGAGCAAATCCTGTTCAGCATATTATGAGAATACTATTATACACTGTGTTCTACATAGTAACCATTAGATAAAGATTCAGCTCAGACAAGCATTCATGAAAATCATGTTGTAGTGATAATTCATTTGTATTTTAATAAATAAAGCTTGCCTGAAGTTCAGAGAGTAAAGCAGCCACTGATTAGCCTTATAGACCAGACAGTGGTGGCACACACCTTTAATCCCAGAAACCATGCCAGTTTGCCATAGAAACTGGGCAGTAGTGGTGCATGCCTTTAATCCTAGCACTAGAGAGGAGAATATAAGGTGGGATGAGACAGCTCTCACACACAGGTTAATTCTGATATTTTTGGAGGCAGGATCACCATTTCAGACTGAGGTAGAGGTAAGAATCAGTGACTAGCTGTTTTGCTTTTTTGACCTTCAGGTTGAAACCCATTTTTTTTCCTCTGGATTTTTATTAATTGTGCTACACCATGTAGTATCCTCTTTAAGGAAATCAAGAGGTTTGGTGTGCTCTGGCACAGGAAATGAGGCAGGGGTATTATTTCTACTTTCTAGGGAGTAAGCACAGTGGTACTTACCTTTAGAGCTAGCAGGTGATATAGAAGTCAAAGGGCTCTTTACTAGGTCTGGGGTGTCTCCATTGGCAGCTCCATCAGGGGTCTCCGTCTGGGACTGCATGCCATCTTCTGTTTCTGCGGGTGAGAGTTAGGAAGAAAATTAGTAAGCAGCTCTCCTAGAAAGACTGTACTGTCACGTCATTGAGTACGTGTTATTCTTTTTCTAGAGTTCATGGCAGTGACCTCAAGCACAGCTATACAGAATGAGTCCCCACATCCATCACCTTCCTATAAATTTATCAATTTGTCCATACATCTACATGCAGATCTGACAGCCTTTCCTTTCTTATACCCTTTGCTTTCTATTATCAACCTTTACTTTATTTCTCTCTCATCCCCCTCCTCCTTCCTTCTCTTATACCCTTCCTTCCTTCCTTCCTTCCTTCCTTCCTTTATTTCTACCTTCCCTCCTACCCTCCTTCTTCTTTTTCTTTCTCTCATTCTCTCTCTGTCTATGTCTCTCTCTTTTGCAGAGTCTCATATAGCCCAGACAGACTTCAAACTTGGTATATAGCTGAAAAGGACCTTGAATTTCTGTTCCTCCTGTCTCTAAGCTCCTATGTACTTGGAATACAGGCGTATACCACCATGCCTACTTTATACAATGCTGAGGGGCAACCAAGAGCCCTGTGTATGCTAAACACCCCACCTTCTACTTTCTGCCTGCCCTTCTTTTCTTCCATATTTACTTAAATGTGCCATTATCTTTTTATTTGATTTGACTTCAGAATGAACTACAAATAAGAATCAAAGTAAAGTATGGTATTAAGGACATGAAATCCAAACACTTAGTGTGCTGAGGAAGAGGAATCATGAGTTTGAGGCCCACTTGGTTATATACAAGGACAATGTATAGAGAAAGTGAATCAATGATTTCAAATGTCTACCATTCATGTGACTTGTTTAAACTATCTGTGTAGGAGCTCAAACACATTTCTTCTGGAGACTGCCTAATGAAGATAGTAGTGATGTTGAAGGACATTCTTGGAGCTATATCACAAATAAAATCAATTTAATTATCAGATTTAATTCTTTCACAAAAAATAGAATCCTTAAAAGGTCTTATTCTGTATTTAGTGCTTTCTGGGTCCCCCCCACATCATCAGGTACTTTAATCCTTCAGTTTTCATGATCACATGTTTTTCCTTCTTTCTAGTAATAGGTTGAACTCAAAGGCGGAAACTCTCCATTGAGTCAAGCCTAGTGGTACTATAATGCCTATAGTTACTGCTGTGTGGGAGGCTAGGGCAAGACTTTCAAATTCAAGGTCAGCATAATTTACAGGGTTAATTTCAGGCTAGCATGGGCCTCCATATGTCACATATATACATGAAACAAGGGCTGCTTAGGAATAAAGCATATGTGTCAGTCCCTATGGAACAACCTCCCAAAACAAATCAAAGCAAAATTGCTTCCTTTTATCTACATGTTATTTTGGTTAAATTCTAGACCACTATGCATCACTGATATGTCCTCTTAGGATCCCCATGCTACCCAAATACCTCCCGCTTTATGGCCACTTAGCCTTTTTGTAGAACTTGAAAGAGTTTACAATTGCTCTCTAAATCTTGTCTTCCTATGGCTACTGTAACGCCAGAATCTCTTGTATTTTCTTCTAGTTTTTTTAACTACTCCTGCTAAAATTAAAGATTAAGTACATAAATTCTTACTCTAGAATAGCTTGAATTATTTTTTGTTTGGGGGCTCTTGGGGTTCAAACCAAGAGAATTATGCTATATACCTATCTCTTTGATTTTTCAAACAGAGCCTCACTGTATAACTCTGATTCTCTTTGAACATAAGATTTTTATGTCTCAGCTTTCCACATGCTGGGGTGACAGGCATGCACCAAGCACACCTGACTAAGTTCTTGTTTAGTTCTGTCATCTATTAGTTTTATGACAGTGAGAAAATTATTTTTATATTTTCTATGTATTTTGACTTTATTACCCACAAAATAATATTAAAATGACTGTTTAAAACCTTTGTGAAACAGTGTTGACATAGATATATGTGTTGTACAAAACTCAAGTCCAAACAGATTAAAGACCTCAATATAAATCCGACCACACTGAACCTGATAGAAGAGAAAGTGGGAAGTACACTTCCATGCATGGGCACAGGAGATCACTTCCTAAATATAACACAAGTGGCATAGGCACTAAGAAAAACAATAAATAAATGAGACCTCCTGAAACTGTGAATCTTCTGTAGAGCAAAGGACGCTGTCAATAAGATACAAAGGCAGCTTACTGACTAGGAAAAGGTCTTCACCAAACTTATATCATACAGAGGACTGATCTCCAAAATATACAAAGAACTCAAGAAATTAAACATTAAAATTCCAAATAATCCAATTTAAAAATGGGGTACAGAACTAAACAGAGAATTCACAACAGAAGAATCTCAAATGGCCAAAAGACACTTAAGAAAATATTCGAGACCAGCCTGGTCTACAGAGCTAGTTCCAGGACAGGCTCCAAAACCACAGAGAAACCTTGTCTCGAAAAAAACAAAAACAAAAACAAAAAAAAAAAAAAGAAAAGCATCCTTAGCCATGAGGGTAATGCAAATCAAAATGACTCTAAGATACCATCTTACAAAAGTCAGAATGTTTAAGATCAAAAACACCAATGATAGCTTATGCTGGAGAGGATGTGGAGTAAAGAGAACAGTCCCCATTGCTGTTGGGAATGCAAACTTGTACAAGCACTTTTGAAATCATTATGGTCGTTTCTCAGAATACTGTGAATCAACCTACCTCAAGACCCAGCAGTGGCACTCTTGGGCATATACCCAAAGCATGCTCAATCATACGACAAGAAATTTGCTCAACTATGTTCATAGCAGCATTATTTGTAATATCCAGAATCTGAAAACAATCTTGATTCCCCTCAAGCAAAGAATGGATAAAGAAAATGTGGTACATTTATGTGTTTACATTTACATATTTACATTTACACATTTACAGCGATAAAAACTGACATCTTGAAATTTGCATGCAAATAGATGGAACTAGAAAAAACCATCTGAGTGAGGTAACCCAGGCTCCAAAAGATGAGCATGGTATGTATGTACTTACTTATAAGTGGATACTAGCTGTAAAGCAAAGGATAATGAGCCTATCATCTATGACCCTAGAGAAGCTAAGTAACAAGGTGAACCCTAAGAAAAACACATATAGAGTTAACTGGAAAGGGGAAATAGACAAGATCTCCTGACAAAATTGGGAGCATGGGGATGGGGAGAGAAGGGATGGTAGATGGGGAAGAAGAAAGAAGAGACTGGAAAGGGGGAGGAGAAGTTGAGGGAATGGAATAGTTGAGATGGAGGAAGGGCAGAGATGACAGCAAGAAAAAAGATACTCTGATTAAGGGAACAATTATGGGGCTAGCAAGAAACCTGACACTAGAGAAATTCCCAGGAATTCACAAGGATGACCCCAGCAAAGACCCTAAACAATAGAAAAGAAGGTGCCCAAATTGGCCTTGCCCTGTAGTCAAATTGATGACTATCTAAAATGTCACCATAGAACCTTCATCTAGCAACTGATGGAAACAGAGGCAGAGTCCCACAGCAGAGCAGTGAACTGAGCTCCCAAAGTCCAGTTGAAGAGCGGGAAGAGTGAGAATATGAGCAAAGAGGTCAAGAACATGATGGGTTCACCCACTGAAACAGTTTACATGAGCTAATGGGAGCTCATCAGATCTAGCCAGACAGGGAACAAAACAGTGTAGGACCAAACTAGATCCTCTGAATGTGGGTGACAGTTGTATGAGCCTGTGGCACACTGGGGGGCCACTGGCAGTAGCACCAGGATTTATCCCTACTGCTTGTACTGGATTTTTGGGAATTCATTCTCTTTGGATGGATACCTTGCTCATCCTCAATGTAGTAAGGAGGGCCTTGGACTTTCTCCAAAGCAATGTGCCTTGCCCTCTCTGAGGGGTGGATGGAGGGGTGGTTTAGGGGAGAAGGTGGAGTGAGTGGGAGGAGGAGAGGGAATGGGAATTGGGTTTGGTATGTAAAATGAAAAAAATATGGTTTGTTTTTCTTTTAAAAAATAAAAAAGAAATATGTGCTGTATAAACTCAATTGTCACTATCACCACTACTAATTATGATTAATAATCATGTGAAATATCTATTACTTTGTAGTAATTGCTCATTGACTCACTCGTTTTTCTTTGTTTTTCATATGCCTAGCCCAGTTATTAAAAGTGATTGGTGTTAGCAGTTCAACCAAAGTTTGCTAAATGAATTTATAATATGGTATTAGAGGGTATAGGTCACCTATATAGCATTTATTTCACATGTGCAAGGTACTAAGTGTCATGTACAATAACACACAAAACAGGATTCATGCTTTTAAACAGTTGAATGAATTTGAAGATGTACAGCATATAAAATAGAGTTTAGCTCAGCCGTAATTTGTAGGAACTATATATAAGTATGTTAATAATAGGCAGATAGAAAAATAAATATCCTAGATTTTATGTCATGTGGAGACAAACAAACATACCAAAACCCCAAAAGCATAAAACTGACTACAAAGGAAGTTGAAGGAATATAAAAGGTAGAGAAGAAAGGGAGAAAAGTTCATAATAGGAAGTGGGGATGAGAGCATTGTTTGAGCATGCATGAGCATATTAGAATGAAATCCACCTATTTGTACAATTTATATGATTTAACAATGTTAATTGTAGTCATGATAGATAATGTGACTATGATAATTAACCACTAATTTTCTTTCTACCTTCTAGGAAAGGGCTGTTGCCTATGATCCTCCTCAGTCTGTGAAAGGAAATGTGGGAACAGCAGATTCCTACTTCTCAAGCTGGTTGAATGTGTAGGAACTTGGAAAGCACTGTCACCCTTCCCAAGTCAGAACTCTCAGTCATTATGTTTCTCAAGAATGGTTATAAATATGTCTTGCTAGAATGAGTTCTAGGCTTCAAGGTTCTAAACTTAACGATAGAATCTCAAGAGATGCCACTAATTTTAACAACACTGTTATCTTCTGTTTGTAAATTACCTGAAGGAGTAGTCTTGTGCAGAGCTGGGCTGGCTGTAAAGTCAGTGCTAGTGGAAACAGGAAAGGGCAGTGATGTAGAAGCTGAAGAAAGTAATTCTTTTACAGTGGTGGCCACCAAAACATCACCATGGCTTGACTTTGTTATTGAATGAGGACTGTTAGAAGTCATAAGTGAGCTGCCTTTTGGAATGCTGGTTGTGGCAAATGAAGCCATATCTTCTGCTGCAGAAAGGGTTGTTTCATCTGAAGTCATCTCATCTGCAGGAGGCATATCAGTTCTTGGAACATGAGTACTTTCTGGTGAGGGCACAGGAAAATTGGATTCTGGGAAGGATGTTACCCCAGTAGACTCAGTAATAGATGAAGAATGTAAGATGGTGACTGTTTGTACTGGAACTTCAGTAAACTGTGAAGACTGAGTCTGATAAGGAGTTGATATGTTCCTAGCAGAAGTAACAGCAGTCTCAGAACTTGGCAAAATGGGAGTGGACATAGGAGATGAAGGCATGTTTGTTTGTAGAGACATGCTAGTATCCCTCAATCCAGAAGTCAAATGGAAAAATTGGTCAGTATTAGATCTTTTAGTCTCTAAATGGGCAGGCAATGATGTGGACATAGAAGTCACCCATGTGGAGGAAGAGGTACCAACTCTATAGGCATCCCTGGATGATTCAGAGGGTATCGGTACAGAGGAACTTAGCTCATGCCCTGTACTGACAGCCTCCATGTTGGCTACTTTGAATTTTGAGGAAGAATGAAAATTTTCTCTATCAGTAGTAACTTCAGGTAAGCCCAATATTTCAAGTGAGTTGCTGCTCAAATTTGGAGGTGAACCTGGTTCAGTTTTCAAGCTTCTGATCAATGTATCCATTGTCTTAGAAAATTCAGAGGTGTGGAATGAAGTCTCAGGAAAAGAGGTAGAGCTTGAACTCTGTGGTGGTAGAGAGGAAGCAGAAGAAGGTGGAGTCTTTGTTAGTAATGACAAAAAGGAAGACGCAGTACCATCTTGGAGAACAGCCTTAGATGACACAGTGTTTTGTAACTGGGGTCCAGGAGTGGTTATGTCCACACTGGTTGCTTCAGTTCTGTTCAAAATGTAAGATGTTTGTGAGGTTCTCGTGTCCTTTGAATTGACTAACTCACTGTTTCTCCAGCTTGGAAACGGTGTTGTAAAATAATCTAAGTTTGAGTCCAATTCCTTTGGAGTTCTTTCCCCAGAAGAGAATGTGGGGACCCCAGAAGCAGGAGAGGTGAGACTTTGTCCTTCTGATGAGGAAGTAGCAAGAAAAGGTGATGTTGCCAGAGGTATTTCTACAGACTTCACAGAGGGGGTTGCTTCATGGCCTGGGAAGTCTGTTTGTGACAGTGGCTCAGAACTGGTGGAATGAGTTATGGAGTCTGGGTGCAGAACTGTCTGAGTTACAGTAGAGAGATCCCCTGTATCATCAGTAGTTACTGACGTGCTCCAAGGAGTTGTGACCTTGGATGATTCTGCAGCATTAATTACTTGACTGTGGTCAATGTTTGGGAAGGAAACAGTAGAGATATTAGAATTATTTCCCATTGAGATGTCTGCTGTTTTTGTGAAGGATTCAGAGCTTGAAATAGGTATTCTATCAGCCGAGTTAACTTCTGTTCTTGAAATCCCAGTGTAAGTCCTAGTGGGCACTGTGAAAAGATCAGAGCTACGTTTTGTCATTAAGTTAGTATCTTCAGGCATGGTGATTTCCTGTTCTATTGAAGTTAGGGGGAAAGTTCTCTGAGTTTCTGTATGTGCAGGTTTAGATATGGGCATTGATGTGGAAAGGGCTGTGTGCCAATTGTTTTGCGGAGTCATCATTACAGTTGTTATTCTTGATGGAATGGAATTAACTAGGACAGTGCCTTGGGAATACGCTCCAGGACTATTGGTTTCTATTTTGTTTCCTAGGTTTTTTGAGGGAATGTGATCTGCTGTGAGGTTTCTTATGTCATATGAAGGACCTGGAATTGATAGTCCCGTGGTATCCAGGCCTTGGGTTGAAGTGCTCCCAGAAAGTACATTTTCATCTTTTCCAGTTGAGGTTGTTTCTTGAAGAGAAGTTACAAATGCAGTCACAAAGTCAAGGGCAGAGTCATTTTGTACTTGTGAAGTAGAAGTAAAAGGTGGTGTGGTTTTCTCAGTCACAGTTGATGTTGAATCTGAAGAGCTGTGTTTTTCTTTGAGTAAAGACTGTTCCTCGCAACCCCTGGATCCAGTTATCATTGCTAAATATGGAGATGTCTGAGGCTCAGGTGAAGAAAACTCTGCCACAGAAACAGTGGTTGCAGTGTCCCTAGACAGGGCATCATATAATAAAGACCCAGAATTATCTGCCTCCAAGATGGAGGTTAACTCTATGTGTTCTTTTGTGCTAGGATAGGTAATGTGTCTGAGAATGCTTCCAGTGGTGATGTCTTCTGATGTTGAGAAAGAAGGGGGGATTCTCGTGGAGAGTCTGCCAGCTGTAATGGCCTCTGAAATGGAGAGGTCAGTAGACATGCTAGGGGGCAACTGAGAAGAAACAGTTTCATGTGTTGTGGCAATTCTGGTCTCTTCAAGAATGGTAGTTTGTGGGAGTGATTGGCTTGGGGAAGAAGTTGTGTGAGCCATAATTCCAGAGGCCTCTGAAAATGCTGCCTCTGAAATAGAAACTGTAGTATCCACCAGTGGGTGCTGCAACATGGTTGAAAATGTAGTTTTAGATGAAACTGATGCAGGAGTGACAGAGGATTTGGATAGGGGTATGGAACTACTGGGTTTCACAGAGGAAGCAGAGCTTGTCTCTGAGAATTTGGTGACCTGTGGAGTCTCTGGGCTTGAATGTGTACTATTGCTCCAATCTATAAATGAGGTAGACAAATCATGTATACCCAATCCAGTTGTGATTGCCTCTCTAGAAGGTGTGAAGTCAGAGATCACAGAACTAGGAGATGGGGTGCTGTGTTCTTCTGTGGAGGTAACAGGAGAAGCTAAGGTAGGCCCATCAAGATATCCTAGAGAATCGGCAGGTTGGCTTCCTTTCAGAGTTGAAAAAGTTGCAATTGGTTGGACTTCATGACTTTGGCTTAGAAATGTGGATGGCTCTGTGACTAGGGGAACTAGAGTGAAACTATTGAGATTATCAGACACTGAAGACATGGGTGATGTTTCCAGGGACAGGCCCATATTATATGTCACTTGAGAATCCCCAACCTGGCTGGTAGATATTTCTTCTGATTCTGTGATGCTATAGCTAGAAAGTTTGGAGACAATTCTACTGGACAGATCTTCTGATGTAAACTTGGTATCTTCTGATGTAAACTGTTGAAGCATTGGAAGTATCGTGCTATCAGGTGACATGGATACTGTTCTGGATACAGGACGAGAAGAACTGTAAGGCACTTCAGAATGGCTACTAATGAAATCCGTGCTTGAGAACACCTTCTCAGGTATATTTGCTGGTGTTGATATAGTCAGGGGGGTAAATGTCTGTGTCCCAATCTTTTCACGTTCAAGTGATATTGACCGTGTAGGTGAAAGAGTGGATACTTGAGCGGTGGGAAGGGTAGTAGGAAAAGCTTTATTTTCAGACGACATTGATGTAGGTGTGATAGTGTATTTGAATTGGGGCACAGAACTGCCGGTTTCCACATTGGACCCTGGTGTGATCGAAGAAAATTTATTCATCGGTGAAGTTTGGGAAGCATGTGCAGCGTTAGAGCTTGACTGAGGGATGGTACTCCAGTTTGAAATGTAAGTAGTCACAGGATCTGAACTTGGGTGTGAAGCTGTGGGAAACAGATCCTTGGCAACTGTGAAAATAGAGGCAACAGAATCAGGAGACTGTCGGTGTCTGTCTGGTAAGGAAGTACCAGGGGCCAGTGAAAGTGATGCTGGTGTTGTGGAATCTGTAGACAAGGATCCTACCTCAGGAATACCTGTCCATGATGCTGAAGCAGGATTGTTGAAAGGAGCAATGGATTCTGAATGTGGAAGTGTATGCATCCCACTGGACTGGGTGTCCTTGACTGAGGTAGTGCTGTATGTGTTTGGGTAGGTCAAAATGTCTGCCATAACTGGAGAATGTCCCATGGGTCTGCTTGTCATATCTTTTGATTCTGCATTGCTGGTGGAGGTAGGGAGACTGGTGGAGATTCCAGTGGGAGTATCTTCTGAGGTAGACTGATGGGGGGCTAACAGGAACGTGCTGTCAGCAGACAGGGCTCCTGTCTTAGACTCAAAAAGAGAAGGGCTAGTGTGCAATTCACTATGGTTAGGATTGTGTTCTATGGTTGAATTTCTTTCTTCAGATGTACTCAAGTCTGTCCGTGCTGCCTTTGGGGAGAAAGCTGTACCTGTCTCAATCTCTGTGCTTCCAGATGAGACAAGTTGTGAAGGCGGAAGTCTGGTATGTTCCATGGTGGGCATGATAGTTGTGAAAGATTCCTTTTCCCATGAAGCTGATGTAGGTGTGGTGGTGTGTTTGGAATGACGTGTGTGAGTCCCATATTCAATGCTGTTCTCTTGTGTGAGTGAGGAAACAGAGATTGTTTGTAAGACTTTGGAGAGTTGGGCACTGTTGGGGCTTAGTATTGAAACAGACGCTGGTCCTGAGGTTGTATATAATTTGGTAGGGATTGGGTCCTTAGCAACTGTGAAGATAGAGGTGACAGAAAGAGGAGAGCTGGTGCTGTATCTGTCTGCAGTGGCAGGAACTGGAGAATGGGAGGGTGTCTCAGGTGTGGGTCTTGTTGAACTGGCAGGCATGGACGCTTCCCAAGTTGAATGAGTCCATGATGGGGGTGTGGGTCTTGTTGAACTGGCAGGCATGGACGCTTCCCAAGTTGAATGAGTCTGTGATGGGGGTGGAGGATTGACAGAATGAAGCCTGGATTCTGAAAGTGGAAATGTCTGTGTCTCACTGTGCTGGGTCGCTGTGTTTGAAGCAGGGGTTGATGTGTCTTGGGAAGTCAGCATGTTTGATGTCACTACAGAATGTCCCCTGTGACTGGCTGTTGTCTCTTCTGATTCTGTGGTGGTTATAGATCCTGGGAGCCCGATGGAGATTCCAATGGAGGTATCATTTGATGTTGACTGATGTAGCATTGAGAGGGATGTGTTGGGCTCAAACAAGCCTGCTGTCTGGGACTCAGGAAGAGATGGGATAGTGAGCACATCAGTATCACTAGTATTGTGTCCTTTGGTTGTATGCATGTCTTCAGACTTACTATCATTTTTCCATGCTAAGATCAAGGTAGAAGCTGTCTGTCTTTTAATCTCTGCAGTTGCAAAGGAAATTAGTTGTGGAGATGGAACTGTGGTGCCTTCTGATTTGGTCTTAAGTATTGTGAAATATTCATTTCCAGATGAAACTGGTGTAGCTATGGTGTATTTGAGCTGGGGTGTTGAACTCCTATCTTTCACGTGGTTTCCTTTTGTGACTGTGGAAACAGTGGTCATCTGTGAGACACTGGATAATTGTGCACTCTTGAAACTTGTCTGAGGACTGCTATTCAAACTCAGAGTTGAAGAAGTCCCAGATCTTGAGCTTCTGGACAAGTCTATTGGGATTAGATTCTTAGAAATTTTGATGACAGATGTCAGAGAACTAGTAGGTAATATTTTGTGTCTGTCTGTCATGGAAGAAATAGCACGTGAATGCAACTCACGTGGCATTGTTATGGAATCTGTTGATATTGATTCTTCCCAAGGAAAAGAAGCAACATTGTTGAAAGGTGCCATGGATTCTGAATGTGGAAATGCATGTCCTCCACTGGTGTTAATGTGTTTAACTGAGGCAGAAATTGATGTGTCTTCAGAAGTCATCATGTTTGATGTCATCACAGAATGTCCGGTGTGGCTATTTGCCAACATTTGTGATTTTGTAGTGAGGCTGGAACCAGGAGTCCTGATGGTGATTCCAATGGAAGTTTCTTCTGATGTGGACTCATGTAGCTTTGTAAGGGATGTGTTCACAGCAGACATGTCCCTCATCCACGAGTCAACATTTGTGGATGCTTCAGTATGGTTAGGATCATACTTTGTGGTTGAATCTGTTTGTTCAAGTGTTCTAGATTGGATCCAAGTGGTATTCCTACCTTGCTTGGGATTATTATGGGTAATAGGCACGGGTGAGTTTATAGGACCTGTAAAAGAGTGACTATGACTTTGTGATGTGGAATCAACAGGTGATGGAGAGCTCATTCTGACCATAGTTCCCAAGGAATGTTTAGAGCTGATTCCTTCCAGTGGTGAGAATTTTGTCTTGGAAGGGGTATTATAACGTGTGCTGAGAAGAGTGGATTTCTCCATCAATGGATAACTCTGAGAGAGAGTGGAGTGCATTCCTGGCACTAAGGAAGTTTCTGGTGTTCCTTGGGAGGAAACCAAGTTTGGGGTCCCCACAAAACCTGTCTGACTAGTGTCAATGACAGAATTTGCCCCTCCAGTGGACACTTCACTGGAGGGTTCTTCTGGCTTGGCTGACTGATGAGGGCTTGGATAGGAAATGCTGTTCACAGGTTCTGTTATGGATACAAGAACAGAATTAGTAAAGGATGCTTCAAGAAGACTATGAGTATGTTCTGTGGTCGAAATCATCTCAGATATGTTAGTCTCCACCATCATAACAGTCATGGATGTGTCTTGCAGAAGGGTACTATCTAATTCATTCCCATTATGTGTGTCAGTCTTTGTAGAATTAGATGTATTCGTTGAAGCAGAAACAGTGCTCTTCCCTGTGGTTTTGGGTATCAACGTGGACAGTGTGGATTTGGGTACAACTGATTCAAATGATATGCGGGGAGCAGAGTTGGTGGCTTCCATGCTGCTCACCATTTTCTGTGAGTTTTTTGTGCCTTTTGGAGCAGCAAACTTTGAAGGAATGCTGCTTCTCCAATGTAAAGTTGAAGTCGTCACTGTTGTGCTTGTGTCCAACATTCTTCTGCTTGTCCTGGGTGTTGTTCTGAGCCTTGTAGTCATAAATCCAGAAGAACTATGTGGTTCTTGTAATGAGGATGCTACATGAGAAGGCAAAGTTGATTTGGGTTTATTTGACACAGTAAGCTCTTGACAAATAATAGATAATTATAAATTTGTAATCTAATAATACCCCCAGAAATAGTCTTATATATGTTTTTACATATTTATAAGGTGATTAGAACAACCTTATGGTTGATATCTGTATTAATCATATCTTTTTACATTCATCTAGTGGAAGAAATTTTATTCTGGACTTTATGTTGTTCTTGTATAAAAAATTTCTCACTTATTCATATGCCAATATAAATGTATTAAAATAATCATCATATAAATTGTATATAAATTCTCAGGTGAAGTTGGATAAAAATATAGCCTCTAAATAAAACCTACAGTCTTACAACTATAAAAATAAGTCAGGTAGGTAAAAATGCAGAGGATAAATGACTATGGAGTGTTAGCCTCCCTTTCTACAATGCTCAGGGTGCCTCCTAGAAAAGTAAATAGAAGACTATAAGAACCAGATCTACAAAGCAATGTCTTCTGAATATATGGAAACATTTCTCTCATGAACTAATGACTGTTCTACTGGTTTATACAAGACCTGTACAATATTAACATTCCAGCATGGGTAGAGCAACTGAAATGCTATTGACAATTGATTGTGAATGGATAAGAGATTGCCAGTTCTCTTCAGAGATGTGATCCCCGATAAACTGTTCACATCCCAATGGACAGTTGGCCATGCAGCCTTGCACCTATATCCATTATTGATTAGACTCAATGTGTTATTAGAAACAATGAAGAAGCACAGGAAAGAGCAGCAGGAGGAGAGGGGTTGTAGAGATGGCTCAACAGGTAAAGGTACTGGCTCCCATGTTTGGCAACCTGAGTTTGATTCCCAGAATGCACATGGTGGAAGGAAGAAACTGACTCCTGAAAATTATCCACTGACTGCCACATGGACAATGGGACCTACACACACACACACACACACACAAAATCAAATAAATAAATAAATGCAACTGTAATACAAAATTATTATTTACTGAAGGAAAGGTCATAAAGTTGGGAGGGGAACACGATGGAAAAGTCTGGGAAGAGTTGGAGGCAGAAGTGAAGGATGAATATGATAAAAATATATTGCATACATGTTTTAAATTCTCAAATAGTAAATACATTTTTTAAAAAATGAGTCAGTTTGAAGAAGTTATCCATTTGTAACAGGTTGAATCTACAATCAAAGAAATTCACAGCATGGTACATGAATGCCTGAAATTTCTATTATACTTTGTTAGGATGTATATTTGTGTGGTTAATTCTCTCACCAAAGAAAGAAGGAAGAAAGGAAGAAGAAAGAAAGAGAGAGGAGAAAAGGGAAAAGAAAAGAAAAGAAAAAAGAAAGAAAAATAGAAACATCTATGGGTGGGAGATGACTCCGTAATTGCTTATAATTCCATCCCCAGAATGTAGAAGCAGAGCTCCTCAAAGAAAGCTCATGAGGTAAGACTAGCCATACTGAAGACCTCTGGGTATGTTGGCGAGAGTTTCTCAGTGAATAAGGAGGTAAGGGGATTGAAGACTATTCCTGACATCAACTTCAGGAATATATGCACACACATACATACAATGCCCCAAACAAGCATATACATTCCTGAACACACCATGTACACATGCATACAGTTATACATGGAAAGTAGAAAAGAGGGGAAAGATGACACACATGGAGTTGAAACAATAGCTCAGTGGGTAAAAGCAGTCGTTACAAAAGGATGAGGACTTATTTGGATTACAGTGACCATATCAAAAGCAGGTAAGGTCATGCATACATCTGTAATCCTAGCTAGCACTACACAGACTGGGGAGACAAGCAAGTTCACTGGGTGACCAGCTGAGCACAGGTTTCAGTAACAGACTCCATCTCATGGGAATAAGGTGGGAAGTAAGGAAGCATCTTCCTCTGGTCAATTTGTGAGCCTGCATGGGAGTGTGCATCTGTAACACACATTCATTTGCACCACACGCACACACACAATATATGACTAGATTCCCCACATATTCCTAAGGTACTATTTCTTGTACTGCAAGCTAGCATTTCTTTTGGAAGATGTATCTGTGAAAAATTTGAGGTATTCTAGTTTGCCATACTAACAAGTCAAACCCTCTTTGTAAAAACACAGACACTTTGGTCATAGGACATGAAGAAAATATAACAGAACTGAAAGGAGCTTTCTCCCTGTTAGCTCTTTAGGCTTATGGGAGAGAAGAGCCATTAACAATAGTATCCAGATGTGAACCATGAAGGCTGAAATAATAATTAGTCTGGCAAGATATGTTAATGTATGCCATAATGACATAAATATTTAGGATAACCAACCTTTTAAAATTGGATTTAAGGCCCACTCCACAAAAGGAAACTCATGCTTAGTCTTTTAAATTTAGTTAAGAAACCATAGCCAGGAAACTTATACTCCTTAGGGCAGAACCTATTACTATTTAGTTTGCTAAATAAATATAGCATCAAATATGTATGCAGTACAGCTCTCAGTCCTCACCTGGGAAGCTTCTTTGTTCTGATAACTTCTTTGTGATGATAGTTAATATAGAGACTCACAACTAGCAAAATTGCAATGTAAGATTTTGTAGAGTTCTCAGTCGTAAAAAGGATGTCTACTTGAGAGCTCCAGAAATGTTGCAAAAGAAGAGAAAAAAAGAATGTAAGAAGGGGAGGTTGGAAAGGATCAAGGTGAAACAGTGCCTTCTGGACAAAACAAAACTGTGGCACAAATAAACTCCCAGCAGCTGTGGTTGATTGCATAAAACAGAGATAGGTAGGGCCTCTCAACAGTCCTTTGCGAACCTATGTGATGTGGGAGTGTCATATATCAATATGTTGATTTCATTGGTTAAGTCATAAACAAACTGCTTGGGCTCATATCTTAGAACATAGGTGGGTGGAGTAAACAGAACAGAATGCTGGGAGGAAGAGGAAGTGAGGTAAGACGCCTCAGACAGAGACACCATGCTCCCAGCTCCCGGGCAGACACATGCGATGAAGCTCCGACCCAGGATGGATGTAGGCTAGATTCTTCCCGGTAAGACCGGTGCTCACAGATTATTAGAGATGGGTTGATCGGGATATCAGAATTAGCCAGTAAGGGCTAAAACTAAAGGGCCAAGCAGTGTTTAAATGAATACAGTTTGTGTGTTGTTATTTCGGGGCATAAGCTAGCCAGGCTGCCGGGGTTCTGGGGACGCAGCCCCACCGCTCCTAATTACTACAAATGGCGCCCAGACGTGTGGACAACTGTATCCACTGAAAGCCTGAGAAAGCTTGGGAAAGAATAAAGCATGTTTTCTTAGTAGCTGCCATTTCTTGTGTCTACTCTGCTTGCTAGAGGCAAGCAAGCGCTCTCATCTAAGAGAGGCTTCCTGACTCAGCTTTAGCTGCAAACCCCTGCAGCTCATTAAGAGGTCCTGCCACGAAACATTTAAACACTGTTGACGAAAAGCTGAACACATGCTTTTTGGTTTTCAGCCATAGCAGGAAAAAAGCTGTGCCGTTTAAAAATGCCAGTTTTCTGGGCTGTCCTGCCAGGGCAAACTCTGACTCTTTTACACAGGTGGTTCGTGCAGTTTGCAAGTACAGGTTGCTGAAGCTCGCTTGCTGGCAGGGACCTTGAAATGCCATAGAGTTGTGGCAGTAAACATGGCTACAGCCAGTACCTCAGCCATGAGGCTGGAAAGCTAAGGAATGGGCTGGATCTAGCTGCCAAAGCCATGGCTTTAATCCCACCCTTATTGCTCAGTAATTTAAAGGCTCGTGTGGTCAGAAAAAGAGAGATATACAGTAAAGAGAGATTCAAAGACAATGAAAATTTCTAAATGGTTTACAGTGTGTTAAAAATATATGCAAGCTAAAAGTTAAAAGTTCTTAAAAGTAAAAAAAAAAAGGAAGAAAGAGGGTAGTTGGGTGTGGTAGTACACACCTTTAATCCCAAAACTTGGGAGGCAGAGGGAGATTGACCTCTGTGACTTCAAGGTGTGGTAGCACATGCCTTTAATCCCAGTGCCTAGAAGGCAGAGACAAACAGACCTCTGTGAGTTCAAGGTGTAGTAGCATACACCTTTAATCCCAATGCCTGGGAGGCAGAGACAGGCGGATCTCTGAGAGTTCAAGGACAGCCTGGTCTACAGAGTTATTCTAGGTCAAAGATACAGAGAACCTGTCTCAAAAAGCAAAAAGTTAAAAGTAAAAATAAACGAAATAGAGGTTAAAACAAAGCTGTACAAAGATGGAAAATAGACAGAGAATTTTGATACTGTATGCTATTATGCTCTCTTTGAATTGTTTGAATGCTGAGGAAGGAGCAACAACTGCTAAAAGATATTTGTTTATAAATGCTGCTGAACTAATCTAACATAGATATTTTGAAAATGCCTTGAATTTGAAATTTGGATCTAATGACATGATGCTTTGGAAAGGAGTTTCTTATTTTGTTTTCACAGAGGATGAGACCCTGTTCATTTCTTCTATTCCGATATGGTATGATAGACCACGCCCTCCTGAAGGGTTGCTGTGAACATCTTCAGAAAATTGCTTCGCTCAACTGCCAACTGAGATGAAACTAGCACACAGGTTATACCATGAAAGACCTAATTAACAATGCCCCCATTCAGCAGGAAGCAGTTTGGAGAGAAATAACTGTACCCATATTCCCAAAAATTGTTTATAAATATTCTTTTACATTTAAAGGGGGATATGATATAGGTATGAATAATTTGCATTGATATGGATTTTGCTTTAGTGATTTAAATTTAAGGTCAATTTTGTTATATGTATATGTGTTTCTGATCTTGATTAACGTATTGTGATTGTATAGTTCATTTAAAAATACAATGTATATAGGTTGTTAATGGATAGTCATCTATAATAGTTAAGTTTGTAATCATGTTAGATTTTCTAGATGTACATAGATATATTTTAAATAGATATTCTTCATATCTTACAAAGACTGCAGAATATGGCATTTAATGTTTT